TGCATCACATCTGAGCCAGCGGTTTCCCATCGGAGCCCGCTCTGCGCTGTGAGCACCTCCGACAGACTCGGGTCAGCTGGGGAGGAGCCGACTCGGACCCGCTGCGACCTCGGGCGACGCGACAACGTTCCTCCATTACACAGATCGAAGCGCGACGCCGCAGAATCGTGCGCGGAATCCGGCTGTCCCGCACACACCGAGCAGGGGCGGAGCCAGGAGAAGGCGCGAGGTCGGAGACACCAGGCAGGGACGGAGTCAGAGGAAGACGCGGGGTCGGAGACACCGGGCAGGGACCGAGTCAGGGGAGGGAATGGGGTCAGAGACACCGGGCAGGGGCGGGATCAGGGGAAGGCGCGGGGTCGGCGATGCCGGGCAGGGGCGGAGTCAGGGGAGGGTGCGGGGTCAGAGACACCGGGCAGGGGCAGAGCCAGGGGAAGGTGCGAAGCTGGGAACACTGGGCAGGAGCTTGTCCAGGGAACGTGCCAGTTCACACTTCATGAGTTAGTCAAGAATGTCTAGTAAACTGGCCACGAGTATAAGGAGGGCTTGCTGCTGTCCAGTTTTAGTGGTTGTGAAGAGACGCTAGTGCTTGTTAATGGGGCGTATGGTCCCATTACACAAATCAAAGCACAAAGCACAAAGCACATGTCCGTACTTATGAATTGTGCTCTGGGGCGGTGATAGACTTAAAAAGTATTTGAGCGATCTGTTCCAGCGGATGCGTCGCCGCGTTTTTCCGTTCCCCTTCGTACTGTTGCCTCTCTCGCTGGTGCCACCACTCCTTACCCATGGCCTTGACTCGCGCTGGTTCCAAACGCACCCTGCCCACACGCAGACACACATACATGCGGCCACACACAGACAAACACATGTAGCCGCATGTAGACACACTTACTCTGCCACCCACGCACGTGCACCGTACACAAACATTGCTGGCTGCGCGCTGTCCCATTCGCTGTCGAGAGGTACACAAAAAGACAGTTTATAGCACCCTCGATCGAGGTTCGCTGCAGTGCTGCCACAGGGAACTGCAGTGCTGCCACAGGAAACTGCAGTGCTGCCACAGGAAACTGCAGTGCTGCCACAGGAAAACTGCAGTGCTGCCACAGGAAAACTGCAGTGCTGCCACAGGAAAACTGCAGTGCTGCCACAGGAAGCGCTGTTACTCCCGTGACGGCGGCCAGTTCAGGGGCGCAGTCCATGTTACGTACAGACGCTGGTCGATATCACAGTGGTGCGGATATAAAAAAGGTACTCTCAGTTATGAATAATTTATGCACAGAATGAACGCGAACGCGAGATGGACGTCTTCACGACTGGTACTTGACGCATTGCTTGATAGTAAAGTTTGCAACATGAACTGGGCTGGCCATTTTCACAATGTGTCCTGTTCTAGCTCGCACGTGGCCCGAGGGGATTGTCGGCATTGTCGCACTAGACAGCGTCGTCGCTGTGTCCACCTGTGACTGAGCTGTGTCGTCGCTGTGTCCACCCGTTACCACTCCCCGTCACTGAGCTTCTCGTCGACCAGCGGATAACGCCATCGGCAGAGATTTTCAGAGATTGTCCTCGATGAGAGATTGTCCTCGCATCGCGGAGATTGCAGAGATTGCAGAGATTGTCCTCGCATCGCGGGGACGGAGCACTCCGCTTTTCCGCCGTCTCCGGGGGGACTCCTTCCGAGGTCTCCGCGTTCTCTGCGTTCTGCTAACATGATATCCGCGTTGCCCACACCCTCATACCACTATCTCCACGTCCTCTGCGTTCTCAAAGTCCAGGGAAGCCAAAATTATACCTTCTTGTTCTCTGCGTTCTCATAGCATTAACTCCGCGTTATCTGTGCTTTGATAGTACAATCTCCGCGTTTTCTGCGTTCTCAGAGCATTAATTCCGCGTCATCCGTGCTCGTATAGTATTATCTTTTCGTTCTCTGCGTTCTCATAGCATTATCTCCTCGCGCTGGGAGCGGGAGCGGCGGTGGGGAGGCGCACAGCGTGGGGGGACACCGGAGCTGTTTGTCGCGGTGTGGGCGGCTGTGACCGGAGCCGGCTGATCACGAGCGTCAGTGTGCCTGCGGGCGCCATCCATTGTGACCTGTCACTGTCCGCGACGGCGCAGGGGTGCGCCCAGGACTGGGCTCGAGGAAGGCCATTCCCATTCGGTGTTTAAGTGTGTGTGTGCAAGATCTTTCCGTCGCTGCAGTGGAGTGGTTGGCTGTTTGTTGGGGTTGGTGCACTGGTGTTTGAGAGCGATTTTTTCCCAAAGATTTGCAAATTCCTTCTGATAACCCGTGTCGCCCTTGGTGGCAACCCAGTGCGCGTCTTTGCCGGAGTTTGTGTGCTGCTCGTGACTTCGTCCTGAGAACGCTCTTGTGCCGCCCCTGTCATCTTCCTGGACTCGCCTCTGCGCGTCCCTTGACGTGTCCCTGAGTGCGCCCCTGCGTCACCACTGATATCTTCCTGGACGTGTCCCTTTACCTTTCCCGGACGTCCTCCTGGACACGCCTCTGCGCCTCCCCGATGTTTCCCTGGGCGCGCCCCTGCGCCGCCACTGATGCCTCTCTGGACGTGCCCCTTCACCTTCCAGACGTCTTCTTGGACCCGCCTCTGCGCCTCCCCCGACGTTTTCCTGGGCGCGCCCCTGCGCCGCCCCTGATGGCCGACACGACAGCCTCCTCTGGCCGGGTGACGGAGCGTTGGCTAACGTCAGGCCGGACCGGCCCGGCTAATAGCTAATGCGTTTTTAATGATGACCGCCGCGTTCCGGCCCGCTCCTCCGCATCAGCTGATGGCCGTCCACTGCGCTGCACGACGCGGCGCAGAAACTTTTAAAAATGTCTGGATTGCGTGAGATGTGGCAAATTATTACGAAATTCTGGTGCTTACCGGTTTGCTGTTACCGTTCACCCGTAAAAAATGGCTTCGGGTTTCGCTTGTGCGTGAGATGATTGCATCTCCACAGGAAAGGCTTTGTTTTTGGTCTGTAGTGCGGTATCATTATCTTGATCTCGTTGGAACATATGCATCATTATTACCTAACGTCCCACTGTTTTTATGTGTGTTCACCTGAGCTCGTTTGTGTTTCGTTTCAAGTTAGCCGGCTCTTTCGACCTGTGCCTTGAGCTGTCCCGGACTGGCATTCAGGGAAAGATCAGGGCCATCATGACGACCACCCTGCTCCCCTCTCGCAAACTCCCCCAAACTGGCGGCGTCTTGCACGTGACAGCTGTAAAACCGCCGCTGCCAGCGCGCTGGCGGTCGGCTCCCGCAAGGCAGTGTGCTGTCACCAACTTTTTTCGTGCGTAGTTTTCGAGGCGCGAAAGCCTGCAATATGTGGACCGGTCGTCGACTTGGGCCGGATGCAACGACAGGGATGTCGTAAAGAAGCCGCAACTTTTCCGGCCGGCTAGGCACGCCTCTCAAAAAGTTTTAAGAGTTGAGAGCTTCTGTCAGCTTCGTGCGCAAGTTAGACGGCTTTTGTCTCGACTCTCCGAAGGCGGAGCGTGCCCCGGATGAATCTGTTTCGATATGAGTCCTGTTTGCTGTCTGTCAGCCACGATGTGACTTCACGGATTGTCTGACGGCAGAAGTGATGTATTAGAATGCCTGTAAAGCACTTATAATCTGCGTTCATCGTCAATAAAAACATCGCCTGACACAGACGCACATGTTACGCACACGTTAACTTAGACGCCTGTGCTATGTTACACGTCATGTTGTCCGATTCCGTCGGGACCTGAAAAGGCGACGCCTTACGCCTTTACGACTAACGAGTTGTCATGGCCTAAAATGTAGTAAGCGGGAGGCCGTATTTTTGGGGCGATTTATGTATGAATCTATCTTATCTCATTTGCAAATGCACTGAACAGCTTACATATCTCGCTATTGCCTCATTTTTGTGAGAGTGAATGACGTTTTGTTGACCGTCGCTGCTACAAAGTGCTAGTGCTTACAAGGTGCGCAAGGTGCTGCAGGTTTTAGTCCCGTAAGGGCTTCCAGGTGTCAGTTTTTAAGGCAGATGGGGCTTGTTTCTGGCCGCAGCTAACCTTCTGGGAATAAAAAAACTCGTCGGCGTTTGGCGCAGACCTGGGTTTTCTAGCGAGGACTGCACAAAGCTTTCTCCTGTGCCTCGCTCCTTCCGCGTGCGGTTTTCCACTTCCGCAAAAGAACCACAACACTGGCGCCGTTCCAGCAACAGACGCGCGTATCAATTCCCGCCGCTCCCTCCTACCATGCAGCACACTCGGAAAACCCGCACCTTCAGCACAGGAGCAGAAGGGGACAGTTTGAGTTTGTTCACCTAAAGGCATGAAGGTCCAAATTTGCTGTTAAACGTGCTGCGTATACGCCATCATTACACGAGCGAACATGTGCCAACGTGGTCCCAATTAGACACGCCCGCATCGCCAGCAAACGCAACCAACCGCTCATTCGGCGTGCGTTATCGGCGCTAGCGCCGCCGCCGAATCAGCCAATCGCTCGACGCTCGCGTCTTCCGCGCGGCGGCTCCTCCGTCCCGCTGTGCGGCGCGGTCGATGCTAACCTGATAATTCCCTATGTCGCGGCCGGTTGCCCGCTAATGCAGCGATCAGCTCCCTCAGATAGTCTCAGGAGCCTGGCGGGCCATGGCCACAGCCGGTTCGAGCCACCAGAGGGCCCGCTCGGATGGCGGGCCCGGCGCGCGCGTAATGGGATGCGCCGTTATCTGTCGCGGAATTCCTGACGGCCTATTAGCGTAACGGGCGGGATTTTTCACCCGGGCTGGCGTTTGTTTCGGACGAGGAGGAATTCCGGCTCGGGAAAGCGAGGGGCGGGATTTCAGTTTGCGTGTTTCGGATGGTGTCAAAAGGAGGCAGGATGGAACGCAGTTACTCACAGCGCACGGAAGTGGATTTTGGCGTACAAGCAGGATTACGTACTCGATCGTTGAACCACATGTGGTTTCTTCGCATCTTCCGTGATAGTCAAACACCCGGCTCATGATCGTGTCCCTTGTTCCAGGTGTGCGTCTTGACCTCTGACAACGTGCCGTAATGGGGACCCTCGGGCGCCTACTGGGCGTGGCCTGCGTGCTGGTGTTGACCTCAGGTCAAACCCTGCGCGGCAGCCCCCACTCCGAACCTGTCGACGGTAAGACGTGCTCACGATTTTATTCACTTTCATTCGCATATCCTGCCCGATGCACATGCATGATATGCATCAGACAGGATGTATCGCATGGCCTGCTTAATGCGCATAGCGCAGTGCTTATGTTAAAAGAAAACTTGTGTTATTGAAGTATCACCTTATCTTGCGGCTCCAGATCAGGATGCACCCTCCAGTAAACGAATCTGTCATCGGGCAGGGTTCGTTTCGGGCCTCGTGCTAAGCTGGCTCTCCTCAGCACATGGTGGCTGCGATTGCCTTTCCGCTTGGGGGTTTATCCCCTCTGACCTGCGACCCCGACCCCGCGACCCTGGCACTGCACGCGCCGGGACTGCGAGCGTTTTCCCACAGGCTCGCCCAGACCTTACCAAAACTATTGATAGTTTCATTTTATATCATTCAATTCAATCTATATCCCACTCAAAGTCATTCCCATTCAACGCCGTCGTATTCACGTTTAGTTCAGTCTCATTTTCAAATTTTCCACATTACATTGCACTTGGACACATTCTTGTTCCCATTTAGTCATATTCCTATTCCATTCACGCTCGTCTCTATTCCACTAAACCTGGCTACCATCCAATTACGTTAGTCACAGTGAACACCAAATACGTATTACAGCTGCATAACCTACAGCAGTTGATGCGCCCCAAAGCCGTCCAAATATGTATTACGCACACAAACATCGGGTACAAAATAGCCTCAGCAGTTACTGCGCTCTTAATCCCAGTAAACTACGATGCATAGCAGCTGTACGGCTTTTGATATCGCTCAATTGACGACTGCAAACTGCGAACTACCAGTTCAAGCCGAAACTAACTCGTCTTTACCACACCTAAGACTTGCTGGGGACGGGGGCGGGGAAACTGGCGTGCGCCATATTTTTCAAGGCTTTGGTGAAAGGGAGTCATGTGCGTTTCCAACGTTGCAGTATTAGGCGTATGTCACGCGGGATGACTTTCGCTCGTTCCGTCAAATTGAGAAATCTGCGCAATTCATGCGGAAGTCAAGGCAAAACGGTACTTGCGCGACCATAAACACTTCCAGCGTGACATGGCTTATCTGCACCGTTTTACGCTACCATTAGCCATCACCTGTCGTATGCTGCGTCTGTGGTGACTATAAAACCAGCCTTGCGACGATATTTTCTCGAGGTAAGACAGGCGCACGGCGTGTCGTTCAGACACCCGACCGCGAGAACAATAGGCGCAGACCCTGTGCCGTCTGTCTATGATGGACGCGCGATGTTTAATGTCTCGTGCTCTCTCCCTGGGGCAGCTGAATGACCTAGTGCCACTCCCTCCGCCAGCTCCAGTGGCGCGCTCAGCCATCAAAAAAGGGGGCGATGGGGATTCGCTGAACACAACACGGGGGCGCACACAGCCATCAAAAGTAGGAGGCGATAAGGATTCGTTGAACGCAACACGTACACGCCAAGACAGCGGCGGATATATTTCCTAGACATAATACCGCATGTCCCCTTCTCCCCTCTCCCCGCTCCCTTAGATCCGCCCCTGGCGGGAGCAGTGTGTGCGGTGTCTCTGTCATCCGTCGGACCGACAGACTGGCGGCCCGTAATGCGCCGCTGTCTGCCGTCTTTTGTGTCGGCCGCGTAATTCATCTCAGACGTCAGCCCAGTGTCTACACAATACCGGCCGCCGCATTGTGTCGGTGCGTCACCATTGGACACGATACTAATTCGGGCGCCTGAGTCGGTTTCTGCAGGCGCGCGCAGGGACGTGTTGGCTTCGCGGATCTGCAAAACACATTGTCTTAACTTTGGTGTCGGTGGGTCCAAAATTCGCGTTTTTCAAAAGTCGCCGCTGCTATGAAAGTGCATGCCTACTCATTTTTGGGTCACGAAAATCCGACTCATTTTCTTGTTTGGATCGTTGGTCTACGTACTTGGCGCATCCGCAAATTTTGAGTGTCGATGCGGTGCTGCTTTCGAAAATCGTTTGTGGCACCAATATCTGGCAAGACTGGGTGCGGTCGTGACGTGACATGACACGACGCTGCGTGCAGGTATGCTAAGGCCAAAACGACCAAGAGATGCGTAACTTGCTCATAAACCTCTAGCTTCAGCTTCCAGTCTTTGATTGATGGCATGAAGAACGCTCGCTAGCAGCCACTGGCTCCTGAACCGAGGCGACTTTTCAACTGCCGTCAGTACGTCAAACTCTCGAGCGACCCAACTTTAAGTGGGTCATGGAGCACAATCTCGATGGGTTCTGTGTGGGTGTGTTCCGGGTGTGTTCTCGATGCCACTCAGTGGCATGCGGTTACCGTGGATTGAACTGAATTTTCTTTTGGGAGTGCGGCCTTTCGGTGTTAAGCAATTACGACGTTTGGTCCACTAACTTTGTAAGCGAAGTTATAATCGAAAATAAGCTGTCATTAATGTCTATTTATCGAGACTCCAGCTGAGAGCTGCCCTATCGAATTTGTTGTTGTCCCGCATTCTATCTTCTACAGACCCATGATTTCAAACAGCTTTTTGAGACATCATCTTCAGTTTGATCTTCATCACGTGGTGCCATGACGTACCTCGTAGAGCCCATCCTTTTGCGGTGCACGTGCGCCGCATTTCGGACCACTTTGACGGATGACGCTGTCTGCGACGCGGCCGGGGCCGAATCCTACTCGGAAATTGTCTCCATCGTGTCGCCCTTGCGCGCGACGGAGCCCCTGAGCCTCCTGCATGCAGATCACGCATGGTTTACATCGGTGGCCAACGACTTCATTCGGCGAGTGGCGACAGGGGCCATGTCACGAGGGCTCGCTACCCCGTGCCGAGCGCTCGGGTGAAGAGCACGCGATGGGCTGGCAACGTTTTTGCGCGGTTACTTGACAAGTGATTATCGGCTTTTACACGTAGTCGCCGGCTGCCGACGGGTTTTTGTGAGTGTGGGTGTTATTTTCCCATCAGGCTGCTTAAGAAATTTATCAGTCGTGGTGAAGTGACAGGCCTGGGCGCTGACGGAGGACGGAAGTTTGAGGACGGAAAGCGGAAGTTTGACAGCGTTTTTCGCCAGTCAGCCTCCGTTCAGTTTGTCCCATGAGCTAGGCAGGGAAGCGGGATGAGTTCTAGACGCCGAAATCAAGGTTTTTTTTACAATTTCCATTCGTGGTGTGATTGTGATGTCTTGCTGGGCATGCCATTTGATGCCTAAATTTAATGAAACATTTGCCAACAACGCGTCGTGATGGTCTTTTTCTTGCCGGTAACCTTTGCCTTCTTCACCGGCACTTTTCACTCTTTGTGCGCTGGTCGTTCCCATCTGACTGTCAGAGGTGATACCGTTTTCTGGCCTCGTGATTAAGCGGATAGACTGTAAAGCTCGCAGCGAACGTGACCAATCGATGTTCTAAATCCAGGTGGTCCCGCCAGTAATCTCCGCCAATCTCCTCTATGAACTGGAGCGGTGCGGCCACGCTCCCCCACCCCTCCCCATCCCCGTCTCGCTTCGCTTGACCCATTCAGCACATAGACGTGCATTGTTGCAGCATGTGCGTTTCGCGTCCTAAAAAGCAGCACCGTGGCTTTTGAGTGACAGCCGTTTTTACCGCGCGGCCGCCGAAGCCTTTGATTGACGCGGCAGCGACAGTGCGCGCGTCCCAGCGGCGCCCAATCACAGCGCGTGCCCGCAGGCGCCGCTCGCCCCAGATGTCAAAGGTTGCGGTGCGCGCGCGCGCCGCCGCCGCCGCAGGGCACGGTTCGCTGACCGACCTGGCGAGATCGCCGAGATCACGCCCGCGCAGCGGCGCAAATTGCCGCGAAGGGGGCGGCATGGGTGCGATGGAGAAAACGTCGCGGCGCTTCGCGCGCCGATTGGAAACACGTGCGATGCGTGTCCGTGACGAGGTCTGGCGATTGGAACAGAAATCAGCCGCAGGAGGGATCTGTTGGGGGACTTGATTGGATCCTGGATGCCCAAGGCGTTTCTAGAACTCATCAAATCCCAAAACTGACCTCAAAGAAACGCGGATTGAACCCTTTTACGAGACGACCGGTCAAGTCAAAAAAGTCACTTTGTGCTGACCTAGAATGGGTGCTCCAGTGATCGACGCGACCCCCGTGCCTGAGCGCGCTCCTGTCCAACGCCCGGGGCGTCAGAGACTGGCCACAGGCGGCGCACGCGGCTGTTAGTAAACGGTCGGCACTCCGTCCTGGAGACAAATGGTCACAAAAACTCGAGAGCCCCGCAAACATTTGCGTACTGCCGGCTCGAAACCAGCTCACTAATGGAACCGGCGGCCGGAGCGATTCCGACACGGGAAACAAACCCGACGCTCGAAATGGAGGGCGAAGGGGGGGGGGGCACTGTCATGGGGCCGGAGGGCTGGTAAAGGGAGGAGGATGACCTTTTGCACCGGATGCGATCTTCAGCCGCAGCGAAAAGTTAAGCCGCGTTCAAATGATTTATTTCGGCAATGGTGTTTCAATGTTGTTTCGAATGCACTAATCGTTCCAATTCCAGTAGTAAATCAAATGGCGATCGATGGGTGGCCCAAGGAACGTCACCCATATAATGCTATAAATGAGGCGATGTTGTATTAATAGACTCATGATTGATATGTTATTGATAAATATATTACTCAACCCTCCACTTAGCCGTCTAAAGTAAGCATCCCTTGGGCAAGCGCGGCCAAGCAAGCAGACGTTACGGCGCGGCACGGGTTGGACAGCATCGTGAACACGGGTGTCTGCGACGGTCCGTGTTTTGGATCGGCAGAACGCACTCCTCGATGTAAAGGACTGTTTGCGAGGTCCGCATACAAGGGGTAGTGGACGCAGGTCCTTTTACTGAGCGGCTTTGGGATGTGAGCATAGACAGTAAGTCCGTCTGAATGGCGCCTATTCTCTCTATGCGTTCTCCATCCTATTGTTGATCAAATATGTAAGCGGGTAGCAGGGAAAACACTATTTGCCCAAGGTCTCAACAGATTAACTGTTTGCTCGTTTTTGTGCTCGTGGGTTGTCAGCGCCATTCCATGTCTGTCACAGTCTGTTTTTGAAACCGTCTGAAGTATTTACAGACGTCAATCAATGGCTTTTTGCTCGCAACTTGACCCCGATAACACGGCTGGCTGCACAAAGGGGATGAATTTCCGTTGCCGAAACGAGATTTTGGACACCTCGCTGCTAGACTCCTATATTTAAGGCGTTTCCTTACAGATGTGTGTCGACTGACTCCGATTCGACTAATTACCGACCTCTTGGCATTCCCACATTTGGGAGGGGTGTCAGCTGTATTTTACTCTGTTTTAAGTCGTGCCATGGCAGCCAACCCGTGAATAGCGCTGCACAATTTTATTGGATTGTTAAACGGTCCGGGAAAACAATTGGTATGCGCATGCATGCATTTACGTACTTCATCTAGTGATGAAGACATATGACCATTTCATGGACTTCATAAGTCAGCGTAACACATGCTACCGATGCACATAAACAGCATCATAAACATGCACATTAACATAAAAACAGTCATCAGCAGTTATATACCGAAAGTCATGTATTGCCATGATATACAGTTATGTACCGAAGGCAAGTAGCAACTCCAAGCGTTCACAGAATGTTTCTCCTCTTGCAGACCACCAGCTGTTGTCGGACGTCCTGCCAACAGGACCCAGCTTCGACCAATCAGCGCCCGTCTTCCTCGAAGTCCCCGCCCCCACCTACGTGATTCGCAACAAGCCGGCGACCTTGACCTGTCGGGCGGCGCACGCGCTCCACCTCTACTTCCGGTGCAACGGCGAGCTGCAGGACGACCGGGAGCACTCGCGGGCCGACTATGTGGACCCGCAGACGGCCATCCGAGAGCTGGAGGTCAAGCTGGACGTGGACAAGCGGGGCGTGGAGGAGTACTTCGGCGACTATCGCTGCGTGTGCGTGGCATGGAGCAGCAGCCGAGGCGAGAAGGTCAGCTCCGGCGTCCAGATCACGGCGGCCTGTAAGTACCAAGTATCAAGTACCAAGTACCACGGCAGCCCGTAAGCCTCGACCTCCCGTGTAGTTTTACAAAATCGGTTTTTGGATGGATGCAGAGAAAGCGGGTTAAGTCCATACAAAATACACTATTAAGGTGTTTCTCCCCGATTTGACTGATACGCTTCACTAAGTTCGGTGAGCTGAAGCTCCGCCCCACTCCCAACTGAAAAGGCAACTTCATCTCTGGCCTCGTCTGCAAAATTTTTCAGACGCAGCAATCGTCACTACTAAGTACTACATTTTTGGAGTAAAGTAATGCCATTCAGAAATCAAATGCGGGTACATAAGTCACCACTACCTTAGCCTAAACACCATGCACTGGGGCTTCATGTACCAAACATTGTCATTGTCATTGTCACTTGCATGCCAGCTATAGCCCCTTTTCTGTTTTTTTTTTGTCGGTTTACGTTGACGCACGTGTTAACTGCTGAGATGACAAGCGTCACCACTCCTGGTGAAGGCCCATTGGAAAGTTTCCTGGGTCCTCGATTCAGACCTCCATGTGAAAGTATGGCGATCTGATGCATTATGTTCCTATCGATTTGCGCTGGCAGCCGCCCAGGAGATACTGCTCATGCCATGCTGCCGCGCTGAAACCGTTCTGAGAGGGTGCTTTGAGGAAGTGTCTTGATTCTGGTTGGCGGATTCGCTGATCAGTTTTTGATGGCGGATGGGATGGCAAACACTTTGGACGGTATGGTATAGGCGGCAGACCTCTCATGCGCCGAGGATCCGTCCCCCGGATGACCATCTTTCAACAGTTTTCATTCACTTTTAGTTTTATTACAATGTTAGAAATATCCTCTACAGCTAACCATACGTTGTTTTCTTGCGAAATTGCCGAATTAAGTTTTGTGTGGATGTTGTCGCTCCCTCATGAACCGCTACCCTTACATCACGAGGTCACTACGACTGGTTCCCTGTGCGTTGACTCAGACGTTCCCCCATCTCGCTCCCGTCGAACCATCTCCACCACTGCCGCCGCCGCCGGCCCACCGCCGCGTCAGTCACCCTGACCCAGCAGGGCGCCAATTATAGAACTCGCCAATCTACGAGCTGCCGATGAGCCCCCGCCGGGAACACCGGCGAATTAATCGCCGCACCAATCGCGAGAGATTCATCGCTAGTCCAGCCGTAGACGGTGGTAGAACTGTGTTTCCGTCTTTCAGAGGATGTCCTATGAATTTTAGCGCGTGGGGGTGTCAAATCTTCTTGTGAAAGCACAATGAAAAGAAGTTTATTTTTGCTGGTACCGGCTCCCGGTGGAAGTGAAATGGAAGCTGAAAAACAATACAACGTTTTAAACCAAATACATGACACGCATAGGCATGACACTATGCGCCTATTATTTCAAATACGCACACACGGACGCGAACGGAACACTGATATAGACGGCAGAGCATGCGGACGTCTCATACTCTTATGTCGTCGTGTATTAGTATTGTCGTTATTTCACCTGTTATCCGCCAGTATCGTTGCCGCAACAGAACCTCGCATGAGTGTCTGGACAAGGTCACCATCCTCGTTGCGGAAGGGTAGGATTGTGGGATCGCTTTCAGTTGGAGGAGCTCCAGCCGCTACCCTAATTTGCCGCTCAGCCCTCTCAACTTGGCAGAGTCCTCCCAGCCGCAGGTCCCAGCTGATGGAAATGCAAGTGATGCATACAAACACCAGCAAGTTATGAATTCACATTTCGTTTGCTGAAAATGGCAAAATATATTGGGCAATATCCTGGAAGAAACCGGCATTTCGAGATGCTCTTGGTTGATAAGTCTTGGGGATAGATTCAAGTCAGGTCAGCGAAATTTCAACCGGTCGGAAAGGTATTTCACTGGGTGAAAACCTTCCCGACAGGGCGGAGTTAAGCGGCGGCGACGGCGACGGCTTTGGCTCAGCTGACTGAACTGGTCGCGACCAATAGCGATGGATGAAGCTGGATCTGGCAACAGCTGGCCGGCAGCAGTTGCGGCGCGCCGTGCGCCAGGTTTGCCGCGTGAAAAATCACCACGCAGGACGTGGGAGAGCGTCATTAATCTGCCTTTGTCCATGGACTGGGAGCTGCGAGCGATACTGCCACACGCGAGGGGAGGGGCTGCCACCTACCGCGAATGCTGCCAAATATGAAGCAAGATTTTTGCGTTTGCATCGGTTTCTCTCCCGCTGCCTCTTTACATTCCTGGTTGACCCTCATTCGCGTTATCGTTTCGCAATGGAACAAATTGCTCCACTCGAATCGCTGCCACACAATGCCGTTAAGTGTGTTTTGATTGCGGTTATCCCAAGTGTGGAGCCAACCCGTTAGGCACAAGCGCGCAGCCAGTGGTTTCGAAACTTTGAGGGCGGAGTGCATCTGCTTTGACCGCGGACATGACGTAGCAGCTTCAAGCTTCCACAGGATCAGCTTAAAGCGGACAGCTTGAACTCGACAGGTGCAGTCCGACCTCAGTTTAACGATAGTTGCAAAAACGTATCAGCTGCGTTTAGCTGAGCAGCCGCTCTGTGTAATGAAGGGTTATCATTCTGTAGCTCCCCAGGTTGTGGCCCTGCCTGGGATGTGACCTCCCCGCCCCTCTCGAGCTGATACGATCTGCTGACCGGGGCGGACCGCTCCATTCTTCACGCCGCACCGGCCCTGGCTGTCCGACGCATCACCGTCCAATCCAGCGCCCTCCGCCCCGCCCCCTCGCCCCTCTGACCCCCCACCGGGCCTGTTTACGCACTCCCTGCCGGAGACGTCGCGCAGCGCTGCCGGTTGCAAAAATGTTTTTCTGCCGCTGGAAGGCTGGGTACAGGCGGCCCCTGGCGCGTCCCACCGGGGGGCGGAGTTTATTTTCGCGACTCAGTAGATAACATTTTTGGTGTTTGTTTTGGAAACTTACGCCGCGGGGCGAGGGATATTGCCCCGTGAGCAGATGGTGGGATCCATTGTCTCCACAGGGGAACGGATGGGGCCTTGGAGAGCATGTGCGAAGACTGGACGCCTCCCGTCGCGTCATCAGATATGACGAAACGCATGGGCTTCTTTCGGGATGAGTGGTTGTGCTGTGCTGCCCTGATTTGTCTTAGATGATGAAGGCATGAGAAACACGGCATCCGCCGTGTGTCGGGAACAGCTTCCATGAATTTCCAAGCATTCGTCAACCACGCCTGTATTTTTATTATATCGTTCGTCTTGGCTGTTTTACCATCCACATTCCCTTTCCTTCTCTTTTCCTGACCACCTGTGTCTTCCCCCGCTGCGCCATGCGTACTGATGAATGATTTAATGAGCTCCAGAGCCTTTCAACTGACGTGGGACGTCACAGAGTTCTCTGACTGCCGGCTCCAATGTCAGAGGGTCTGGCAGACGGCGGGTTTTTGCCGCACCCACCGATATGCGTCATGCAGCCAAGGCCGTGTCGTTTTCCCATGCTCAGACCTTCTCTCGCTTGAGCCTCGAACTGGCGCCGGACGCCTGCCGTCTAATGCTTTTGCCCCCGCCTTTGTTTTGGCGGCGGGCAATTCATTACCCGGCCGTTCCGTTCGTTAGCTTTGCGTTCCCTGCTGGCATTTGGCTCGAGGCTTAGCGTCACGTTGCTCTTCCGGTACGCCGGCACGCAGAATCAAAGGGCGGTCTGTACATGCAGCGCCGCTTGTCATTCTCACGACGTCCTTCGGTGTCGGTTGTTCTCCAGTCGCAGGCCCGTGGCCAACAATGTCCACCGGGGAACGAATGTCGAATTCGCTCTCAGATCCTGAGAATTTCGATTAAATCGCATGGTATCAACTCCTTGGCATAGGGGCGGGGGGGGGGGGAAGGCGCTCCCCTTGGCCCTCCTCTTAGCTACGTCCCTGGCCAGCCGACGTTTGCGTACGAGACTGCGCCATGCGAAAGCCGGCCCTGCACTCCATAATTTATCTGCCTGCAGAAGTTTGCAGTCCCTGCCAGCTGCACCGCATCGAATGCCACCGATATGCCGAAGTTCCACGCGTATCCGTTCGTCTCCGACTTTGGCTTTGGTTCACCGGCTGGCTTTGGCTCTTGAATGCTCCCGCGCCTCCAATCACTGCTTGGCCGTGCGCCTGGGGCCTCTTCTCACGCGGGAGTGAACGGGGGCGCTTCCAATAGGGCCCAGCATTGATCAGCAGCGGTCTGGATCCATTCTTGCCGAGCGCTCCGACCCTCCTGCTTAATCTCTAATCTTGGCAATGTCGCAGCGGCCCGCGTCCCTCCCCCGCCCTTGTTATCTGGAGCTCGGCCAGCGCCCAGCACCGCGCACGGGCGTCTCAAGGGCGGGACATATGGAAGGACTTATGCAGAGGCGGTCACAGACGGGAAATAGGGAAACCTTTTTGCACAGGTGGTCACAGGTGGAGAATATGGAAACTATTGGGCAAAGATGGTCATGACATCACTTTCTTGCTGAACTCGAAGTCAGTTGTTTTCATTGCTTGCAGACGTCACATTTCCAGTATTTGTTGTCGTTTAGCTAAAAGCGTTGCTTTTCCTAACCAAAGTTATGGGCGCAGAATGACCCCCGACGTCGGCGCTGCAGAGGCAGTCACAAGGCGCACAATATGGAAAGGGTCTGTCCAAACGAGGCCATATGTGAGTAAAAGAGAACATGTGAGTGGTCAGAAGTGATTCATTTTTGGTACTGGGATAGCAATCGTATAGGAAACGCACAGTGACGCAATAACTACATAGTCGGCTTAAGAACAAGCGGTAATTTTGACCGCATTGACCACCCACGTTGACGATTGTTACGGTTGAGTGGCCAATTGCGTCGCATGCATGACGAAAAACAATATTTACATCGATGACGTAAGTGACACGGGAAGCTAATTGGGACCATAAGAGTCAGATGCCGACTGGAAACTAAGCCAGCTAGAAGTAGCAGGCTAACAGCTAACTGAGCGATCAGGTTAAAAGTCACGGCAACACTTTTTTCTGCATCGTTCTCGCCTCACTTTACAACTTTT